GCGCCTGGAAAGGCATTTCTCGAGGTCGCGGCGTGCTTTGCCGGGGTCGACCTGATGAATGGAAACGTCGGTATTATTGTGTTTACACGCGGGACACACGGGGGCCTCTCTCGCTCTCTCTCGCCACACTTGGCGTGGAAACATTCATTCATAAAGCGTTCCGCGCGTTCCTCTCACCGCCGGTATCCCTCCCGGCCTGCCGCCGACCGCTCTCTCCCCAACAACCCCAGTCCTCGCCCCTCTTCAGCCGCTCCGCGCCGCGGCGTTATGCCCCTCCTAGCGAGGGTGCACGACCCTCCGACCAGTGTAGAGGGGTAGTACCAGTGACGTAGCCAGAATTACGACAACGACCTGCTGATTCGCTTATTTTATTGTCCCACGCCGCGTCTCGCCTTCTCCAGTCTCCTCTCGTTCTCCATCTTTGGACGCGCGCGAGTCTTCCAGCCAGCCAGCCAGCCAGCCTCATCGGAAAATCATCCGGTGGAATTTTCGAAAACGAACCGAGAGAGCGTTTTCGATTGATCGCGCCGCGCCGTGATATGCCGTGACGTTTAAACGTTAAATTGCCAGGCATTTTCAAAGATACTCGAACCTTTGGAATTCCGACGCGCACGCGATCCTGCGTAGCGTTTTTAACCACGTAGTTTCGCGATCTCGCGTGACCGGCTTCGCGTTACCATCTCACGCGAGAAATTTTTTCGCTCGGCTAAATTCGCCCGTGGAACATCGATCGTGACATACCGCCGCTGCTGTTGCGGCGCCTTCCCAATTTTGCTTTTTCCACGCTGTTTATTCTCGCGAGAGGGAGAGAGAATGAACGGAGCAGGTGCAATAGCGTGATCGCAAACGAACACAACCGTGTTTACGCGTACTCAGCTGATATGAATGGACTAGGAGCGCGAGCGAGTGTACGTATTTGTGGATTCGGTCATGTCGACTTTCGGTATAAATTGAAACTTCTCGAGGGTGTCTGGTCGCCGGTGGGAGAATGTCAAGGGGCGGAGGACAAAGAGAGAGGCTGGTACGCGGCCGAAGCACACGACGAAGACGAGAGAGAGAGATCAGCGAAGGGTACAAAGCCACGAAGCTGGGTCAGTTCCGTTTAGTACGAGGTAGGCTACGATTCCGTTTGGATCGGAGGAGCGGCGCGGATCGAGATACCCTGCGCCGCGCAATCGCCTACTCTATGCATTTTCAGACGCGCAACGCCGTCCCTCTCTTCCTCTTCCTCTTCCTCTTCTTATTTAGACGATCAGATCTCCACGTTGTCTTGGAATGGAGAAAAAGGGAAGGGAAGGAAAAACTGGCCGATTCGCGGTTCGCCTGTGATTTTCTCCGCGAATCGTCCCGCGGTTGGTCGGCGCGCGCTGTGTTTGCTTGGCGGAGAGAAGAGAACAGGGTCGGTAAACGCGCGCAAACAGACGATGCGCGGAGAGAGAGAAGGGAGAGAAGGAAAGCAGACAGGCAGTTTTTTTTGGCAGGCAGGCAGGCAGGCAGGCAGGAAGGAAGGAAGGAAGGAAGGAAGGAAAGAAGGAAGGACGGAGGAGGAACCCACGGAGAGAACGGAGAACGAGGAAGAGAGGGCTCCATTCGCCTAGCGCAGCGTGGGCTTTTCTTGTATTCTATTGATTTTTCCGAAAGTTCGCGTGGTGGGAGTCTGGCAGGCAACGGTGTGCGAGCTTGCCAGGAGCGTGTTTGCGTGAGCTTCGACGACGGTATCGTCTTTTCCTTCCCTTTCTCCCCCCCCTGCTCCCACTCGCTCTCTCTCGTTCGTTCCCTCGGCCGCGCATACACGTACTCGGAGAAGCACATAGAATACGGACGCTAGCTGGAGCCGCGCGCGCGTTCTTTCCCGCTCGAGCTCCTCCTCCCACACTCGTTTCCCCGTTGGTCGTGAGCTGCTCGTCTCTCGCTTGGTCGAGCGGCGCGCACCGGCTTGCCTCTCGCTCGCTCCCCTTTGCGTGAAATCCACCCTCGACCCCGCTCGCTCGTTCGCTCGCTCGCTCGCTCGCCCGTCCGCTCGCGCTGCAATCCACTCTCCGATGGATATATACATACCTATGGCTGGTCATCAGGTGCGCGCGTGCGTGCACACACGCAAACAGATCGGCTATTCGAAACAGGAACGTGTTAAGGAGTTTGACTTTGACATTATTTACCGCGACTACGATCGAACCCTATTCTTCTATGTATGTAGTTGGACATTCTTCCCCGGCGTTCGCT